CCCAAGGTGCATTCTGGGATCTGGGCAGAACAATGTCTCTGGAGCAGCACTAGCTGGAAACAGGCCACCAAGATGGCTTTGTCTTCCGGGTCAAGGCAAGTGCATCCCTTCTACTTTCCCTCAGCCTCCTCCCCAGGGTCCCGAAGGCTGCCAGGGTGTACATCTGCCCTGGACCACAATGATTACAGAGTCTCCAAAGAGAAAGGTTTGGAAATCTGACTCCAAGTTTCTCCCAGACCCTCAAGAGCTGGAGCCCAAGGCCAGGCCCTCTGCCAGTTGCAGCTCTGTAACTTGCTAAATGACAGAAATCACCTGGTCCTCAATGCTGTCTCATGCTGGCAAGGGGTAGGGAGGGCAGGGGGTGGGGGTGTTGGGACACCTGCTGAGGGGCTGGGCAGACCGGATTCCCAGGGCAGGCTAGTGCTTAGGGAGCCAGGGCTCTTCTGGAGCCATCTAGAGTCAAGCCTGAAGGGCCTCAGGTAGGTGATATCTTTACCTTGTTGGAGTGTCAATTTCCTCCTTGGAAAATGACAGCAGACATGTGCAAGGTCAGTGGTTAGCCCCGGGCCTTGCACAAAGTCAGCAACAGTGGCTGAGAGGCAGTGAGCCATCCTCACAGCCGTCTATTCTGCAGCAAACTCTCCTCTGAAAAGCATCTGAGTGGAGCAAGGTTAGATAGTCAGCCCACCAGCCTGGGAGCCCAGCTGCCATATCTTCCTGCTAAGACTCCAGAGAACAGCAGCCAAGCCTCGAAGGTTTGTAGGAGACCACATGGAAATCCTCCACTAAACGAGGGCTAATCTCATTACAGTGTTCCTTAACTGACTAACAGACATTTTTTTGGCATCTGTTCTTTGTCAGCCCAGAAGTGGGTATGGAAAGGTACTAGGCTTTCAGGCCCTAGAGCTGGGTTGCTGGGATTTGGAACCAAGTTCTGGCACTCACCATCTGTGTGCCTTCTGCAGGTTCCTGCTTCTCTCTGGCCTTGAGACAAATTTTCCACCCATTTCCCCAGCACTCCTCAGAGGGCTAAAAGGATCAAAGCAGTTCACTACTCCAAGGGCTCAAGACAGTACTTGGTACAAGGTAAACTCTGTGAATGATAAATAAATAAAATCCAGTCACTGGTTTGGTTCTCCAGGATACCAGTCTAGTAGCAAGATGTAGGGACCACAAGGCATGATCTCCAGCCCGCTGGCTCCGGGAATATTTGGAGATCTGGACAGAAGGCCAAGAAGGTGTGTCCCTGAAGACCTTGGAGGCTACCTGTGGCTGCCTCTCAGGGTTTGGGTCTGAAGGAGTCTGGGAGTGGGGGGTGGGGGACAGTTCCTAGTGTTTGTTTATATACAGGTATTTAGATACACAGCGGGAGCAAGTTAAACAACAACAAAAAAGGCAGTGGCTCCAAACTAGCTCAGTGGATAAGGCACCCTACAGCCAGAGTTCAGTCCTTGGAACCCACAGGTCCAAGTACATGTCCTGACATGTACACACTAGCACTCATAATACAACGCACATTGTGCAAACAAATTAATAATAATAATAATGAAGGCAGGAACTAGTCTCGTTTGGAAAAAACCTGGGACTGACCCAAGGAAAGGAAGAGATGTTGGGTCTGGTGCCAGGATCAGGAAGGGGAGCAGTGCCTGGCTTGGCCTGTGCAGACTAGAATTCTTCACTGTCTGCTAGGGTTGGTTGAGAGTTGATCTGACCCAAATTCAGGAGCCCACCCCCCTTTAGTATCACTAATTTTCTTAGAGTATTTTTTAAACTGCATAAGTCTAGCTATTTCAAAAATAATAAAAATAAAATTAGCCCCTGTGCTCTCTACTGGTGCTCTCAGCCCACAGAGCCATGAGGTTCCTCCAAAATGTCCAGGGACCAACTTTTGCCATTGCACAGGCCCCTGTGGCTTCTCATTTCACTCCCCTTTTTTTCATCCTAGTTAACCTCTCTCTCTCTCTCTCTCTCTCTCTCTCTCTCTCTCTCTCTCTCTCTCCCCCTCTCCCCCTCTCTTTCTCTTTCACCTTTTTGAGACAAGGTCTCCCTTTAGCCCCAGCTGACCTGGAACTCACTGTGTAGACCAGGCCGGCCTTGAACTCGCCGAGATCCACCTGCTGGGATTAAAGGCATACTTCTGACCCCTGCTGTGGTCAGGGTGCCTCAACTCTGCTACTCAAAACCCTGGGCCTCCTGGAGCAGATTGTGAGGGATGAAGGGCCAGCCTTATAGTTCCACAGGGCTCTGGAAACTTGTAGTTTGCCTGGCAGTGAGGGTAATCAGCCTGCTTTTAAGAGAATCTTTAGAGGATAGTTGTAAGTAAACAGCTCTTCTACCCTGCTTCAGAGTCCTGGGGCCATCCTCAGCTCCTCCCGGTACCTTGAGGGGTAAATTCCTGCATTACCCTGTCCACACAGGAGAATGGACTGGGTCACAGAGCTTCTGGAAAGCCTTTGCCAGGAGGCAGCGATGGCTCAGACTTTTAATCACTGGGGAGACCGACTGATCTCTGTGAGATCCAGACCAGCCTGGTCTACATAGTGAGTTCCAGGCCAGATGGGGCTACCTGAAGACCCTGTCTTAAAACAAAACAAAACAAAACAAAACAAAACAAAAATAAATAGAAGTTTGTCCCATAGGAGTCCCGGCTTTGGGCAAGTCTTTCACAGGTGCCAGCTGGTCGCTGCTCTCCTGAGCTTTCTAAGAAAGGCACGAGTGCCATTCAGCTGGTCCCTGGAGGGAGCCCAGGACAAGGAGGGAGAGGGAAACACGAAGACAAATCTTCCGAAGCTGGGATGTGGCTCAGTGGTACAGCTTCCGGAGCATGTACAAGGCTTCGAATACTGTCCTGGGCACTGGCTACTGTCCCCTGAGCTTGGTGGGGGAGGGTAGGGGGATGTATAATGTTAAGTGTAAAAAATGCTGCTTCTAACATTATTGTACACAAATCTGAGATGAAAGAGACTGAAGAGGGTCCCCGGACGGGCCCAGAGAGTTGTGGGCAACGGCTGATGTGTATGGGTGCCAATATTGACAATTTTCCTCAAAGGATTTCTGAACTGTGTGAATCAGGCAGTCCTGCCCCCAGTGTGATACCCTGGCAGAGCCTCAGTGTATCGCTCTGTGAGGCAGAACCACCCAGCACTGCTCCAAGCAGCAGAGAGAGCTTGAAAGCACCCACAAAGTGTCTGTGCACAGGCATGCACATCGAGCCTTTTGATATTGTGACTGAACATTGTCATCTACAATGTTCACAGTGGAGAACCTCCCAATGGAGTTACAAAAAAAGAATTGAAAAAAAAAGTCTCATAGAACTTTAAGTAAGGGAGCTTGGTGCGGTTGCCCATGCTTTAATTCAGGAGGCAGAGACAGGTGGAACTCTGTGAGATGGAGGCCAGCCTGGTCTACACAGTGAGTTCCAGGCCAGCTGGGGTTACAGGGAGACACTGTCTCAAAAAGACCAAAAAAAGAAATGGACACTTTGTCAGCTAGGGATAGAACCCACCTGCCTCAGGCCAGGAACTCCACACCCCTCTTCTCTCTTCCTACAGCCCAGCCCACTGTCCTGCGACTGGAGACTACTTGCGCTGAAGTGCTCTATTACCCTCCTGGCATCAACTTTGCACCTCCCTTGGCTCCTAGTAAGTGGCAGTGCTTACTGGCCGCTTCCCCTCCTTATCCTTAGGCAGGCCGGGAGGCTAGGCACTGGCTCTGGCAACGCTGCTTGGTTCCCACTGTGGCAAAAGGGTGGCACTTAGCCAGGGCAGACCCAACCCAATATCAGCAAAACTCCTACCTAGTGAGAGGACAAAGCCAAGAGCTTCTCCCAATTTCAAAGGTCGAGTAGTTCTTCCAGGGGATGGAGAGGCCGAGCCCAAGTGGCTTGACCTAAGCTCCAGGCCTTGAAGTGCTCCTGGTCCTCATCTTACACATAAAAAGCAGAGAGACTTGCCAGCAAGCCCCATAGCTACCAGGTTTTTAGTGCCATTTCACCAAACCTGTTTCCTCACCTGTAAACAGGACATTGGTCAATGAGCTGTGTTTACTACAGTGAAAGGAGTAGAATGCATAGGAAACAGGCCCACCAGGTTAGGGTACAGGGTCTCTCCTGAGCCATTGGGTTAAGACGCAGGGTCTCCCCTTGGTCATCAGGTAAGGATGCACCATCTCCCCTGAACACATTAACTTTCATGGTTCCACTGCACAAGGCAGATGGTGGCAACCCCTACCCTATTTGGATTCAGCCTCTGTGCTCAGCCTTGCTGGATAGCTGTTGAGGCTGGCACCTAGAACCCCAGAGGGCAGGGCAGTCTGACGAGGGCACAGGTTCTCTGCTTTTCCATCTCTAACACTGGCCTCCGCATTATTTTAAGTAAAATGGGTTATGGTGCTGCTGTAACAGCATTGAGTCCCAGGCCCCTTAGCTTTGCATTTCCTACCAGTAAGAGGCTGGAGGAGAGGAGTTTGAGAGGTGTAGTCGGGACTACACCTCTCTGCTTTTTTATGTGCCGAGTCCCCGAGGCAGGGCTTTCCGTCGCGCACCAGCGCGGGCACGGTGATCCTGCGGGCGGGCGGCGGCGGCGGGGGCAGCCCCACCAGCTCTCCCTCTCGGAAGTGAAGAGAAAGCTAACTGATTTTGCTAGCCTGTGTGTTCACAGGCAGGTTGGAAAACCTCTCCAGGTCACAGCTGCTGAGCTTTACAACAGGACGCCCCTTGGAATAAATGGGACAATCTCAGAAAGTGCTTAACAAGGGGTGCATTGGCTTTCATTATTATGGGTTCCAACCACTCGCCCAGGGAAAGCCTGAGCCCTGCAGGCCACCTCTGCCTTCGAAATCCTGAAAGAAGCACGGAGCAGGGTCAGCGCACTCACTTTAATGGGAAGGGAATTCTCATTTCTTACAGCAACAGGTAAAAACATAAATACCG